CGAGCCCTGATCGAGGTGACGTCGGAGGGGCCCTCAGTGAGTTGAGCCCAGCTGCTTGCAGGGGGTCAGGCTGCAAGGTCCAGACGGCAAGTGGGGGATGCCCTCCCCCAGTGTCCCATCCTCCCTCTGTTCTGAAACATTTGGGGGCCCATCCTCTGGCTCAGCCTCAGGCCAGGGCTTAGACAGTATGATAACCACTCGACAGGTGTGGAAACTGAGGCCCAGAGGGAGGAGAGGGACTTAGGGGGTTAGAGCAGGGTGTGAGTTTAGAAGGTTGGACCAGGCTTCAGAGCGGGGCGGGGCTTCTGCTGGGGTCCACTGAGACCCTCTCATCTTCCTTTTCCAGGGCCCGTCCTCCCGCACCTACAGAGAGCGGCCCTGGGCCTAGGCTGGGCCCTGACAGCCAACCGTTTGGATCCCCCCCTGGCTTTGCCAACCCAGGCTCCTTCATGCAGGGTGTGCTGCAGGAAGGCACGGTGGCCAGTGCTTCTCTGTGACCTCGATCTTGTCACTGGCCTTCCCCTAGCCTCAGTTTCTTCACCTGTGTACTAGGGACAGTGGTAGACACCCCTTCTCGCTGTTCCCCACCCCTCCTTCCTGCCATGGGGATGACGCAGGTGAAACAAGGCAGAGCATCAAGTGCTGAGACCCTGCAGTGGAGAAAGCGCTCAGAAAGCGTCAGCCGCCGTTTCTCTTTCCCATTTCTGCTAGCTACTGCTCTTAGCCTTGCAGAGGAGCTGTGGGGCTCTGTGCTGGGAGAAGGGGGCTTCCTGGGAAGTTGGTTGGGGTGGGCCTTGGGCTGAGCCCCAAAGAACAGGAAGACTCCTGACAGAGGCTGTACCAGAGCTGCTGCCCTGAAGTGTTTGAGGCAGAGAATACTAGAGAAACCCGGCGGACAGCAGCAGCAGGAGCAGACAGAGGGGCCCCGAGCCAGCAATCCCTGCCTCCCTTCCTTCTGGGGCTGCTTCCTGGCCAGTGGCTAGTTCTTGGAGTCTTAAGTCAGGGATTTTCGAAGCTGGAGGGGTCTCGGGGAGCAGTATGTACAGAGGGGAAACTGAGTCCTGGCGTGAAAGGACTGGGCCCCGGGTGACCCGGTGAACTGGGCCAGGGCTCCCCGCCCCCAGCCCTCACTGTGGGTGCTGAATGAAAGAGGTCTATTCTGAAGGCCCATCTTCTTTCCTCGGGCAAGGGGAGTTCTGTTCTGCTCCCAGTGTGGAGGCCGAGGCCCTGAGGCTCTGAGACTTTCTGGCGCCCTGGCCCCGTCGAGCCGCCTGGGCTCCCCTTCGCCCTCCCCGGCCATTTCCCCACGTGCTATGAAAACTCCTCTCCAGGAAGTCTGCCCTTCGCGAAGGCAGGGTAGCACGCGGTTGGAGCGCGTGCTCCGGGACCACATTACCTGTTTTATATCCCAGACCAGTCACTTAGCGTAGGGTTCATCTTGAAGCCTCAGTGGCCCCATCTGTATAATGGGGACAAAAGGGAAGTGTCCAGAGAAGGAGCACTGGACTTGGGGTCAGGGGTCTGGGTGCCGACGCCGGCTCTGCTGGCCTGGCTTTGTGTCCCAGACAGGACTCCCCGTCCTGGCCTCAGTGTCCTGGTCTCCACGTGGAGATGATAATCCTGCCTCCCTAGGCATGAGCTGGGGTAGAAGTGACCACACAGAGGACAGTGACCTGGGGCGGGGGAGGGTGGAGAGCGTCCAGAGACCTTGTTTGGTCAGCACCATGACCTGCAAGGGCAGCGTGTGGCCCTCCCACTGTGGCTTGGGGTGGGGGAAAGGGGTGTGACTCAAGCAAGGCTACCAGGCTGCGGGCGGTCCTTGAACCCAGGCGGGCTGTGAACCCCGCCCTCCTTCTGCCGGCCCGCGGGCATCTCTGTAAACACTCTGTACTCAGTGTGACTCAGAAACGGGACTCTATCCGCCAGCAACAATAACAGCAGGGCCTGAGGTTTTGCACCAGCTTTTGTGTAGCCCCATTGGCTCACTTCAAGCTTGTGGTTGACTAAGACACCCGGATCCTTTGCACCCGAAGCTGCTGTCAGGTCAGTCTGCGGTCTGCACATCCATCCAGCCGGCTTCCTGCCTGTTGAGATTGTTCTGAATGCATTCATGATCCAGCTCACCCACGTCACCCTGCCGTCTCCAGTGGCCGCAGCAGCCAGGGCGAGAGCGTTGGCCTGCCAGGACCGAGGCTGAGCCCTGTGGCCCTCCCCTAGAGACCCTGTCCCTAAGGATATCCATTAGTCAGTCCTCGGTGGCTCACCGTAGACAGCCAACCAGCAAATGAAACCTCAAACTTGGAGGCTGCCAACTGGCAACCCCTGAGCAGGACACATTCTGCCAAGTGGGTTATTTTGTTGTTGTTGTTGTTGTTTTCAGCATACCAGGCTTCCCTGGTGGCTCAGCTGGTTAAGAATCTGCCTGCAACGCAGGAGACTCCGGTTTAATTCCTGGGGTGGTGAGATCTCCTAAAGAAGGGAACAGCTGCTCACTCCAGTATTCTGGCCTGGAGAACTCCATGGACTGTATATAGTCCATGGCGTCGCAAAGAGTCGGACATGACGGAGTGACTTTCACATTTCAGTATTTGGGTTAATCGCCAACATACATAATATGGGATATTTCACAGGAAAGCAGGCTTATGGCTTCTGGTAAATTGGAAACTGGCAGCACTGGGCCCACCCCCAGCGGGGCACCAGTCAGCTGGGCTGGATGGCAGCTGCCCCTTCTACGAGCCCACCCTCCCCGGTCTGCCCCAGTCCCCACCCATCCCATCTGCCTCATTTATGAGACTTGCCTGGTCCTCTTAGGCATGAGTTTGCAGCCTCAGCTCCAGCCAAACTCACTCCAGCCCACGTTCTTCCTGTTTCCAGGGGTCCTAGGAGGCAATTGTGGGGCCTGGCTGGTGTCAAGTGGGCTCATTTTGGCTGCCACATATCCCATGGGCCCGGGCATGGGGCCTCCTTGGAGGAGAAATTGGGTTCCCTGGTTCTTGGTGGCTTGTTGAGCCCACTATGGCCCCCAGGATAGCCAGCTCCATTCCTCAGGGCTCTCAGATGCCTATGTGAGCTGGTGGCAGGGGTGTAGAGCCAGCCTGGGGGCCTGTGGGTACCAGAATCCATTGCATCCTCCTTTGAAAATCGGGAATCAGGCCCATTCTGCAGCCTCCAGCTCTGTCCCCTTGTTCCCAACAGCAGTGAAGGGTCCCGTCACACTTTCCCAGCACCCCCCCCCGCCCCCCCCGCCCCCCCCCCCCCCGCGCGCCCGGTGCCATATTGTGAGACTGTCTTCTCTTTCTCTGTCAAGCTAGAAAATTCCTCATGTCACTGCAGACCCCAGGACTCAGGCGAGCCTTCTGCTCTCCCCCAGCCCATTCCCCATGCTTCTTTTCCAAGAATCCCAGGTCTAGAAAATCCTCCCCACTTCCTCACTGTGTGACCTCAGGCAAGCCTCTTTACCTCTCTGAGCCGCAGTTCTGTTGTCTCACAGAAAGAGGACCAGGCCAGCCTGCCTGTCTCAGCAGGAACTTGGGACACATATGGGCTCAGCGAGGCCAATCTGCCCCCACTCATGGCTCCTCACCATGACCCAGGGTGGGCTCCCGAGGTTTTGCGGAAACTCTGTGGTTTCTCTGAGGTGGGGGTACTCTCTCTACTTATCAGATAAGGAAATTGAGGGGCCCCCACCCAGGTGGGCTATGGAAGAGCAAGTTACAGAATGATACAACCAGGCTGAGACCATTCAAGAAAGTTCCATGACAAACTTGCTGTGTGTTTTCCATGCACATGAAACCCTAAAAAAGACCTGGAAAGAAAGACCTCCAAATTGATCACATGGGGATTTCTGGGCGGGATTTAGGGTGGGTCAGAGGAGCCGTTAGCCTTACCTGTAATGCTTTTCTTTTTGTAGATATCACGTGTTGCTTGTGAAATGTAAAATGAGTAATTGAAAAAGTTGGGCGTGCGTGAGTGTGTGTGTGAGGGGGTGGTCCCTGTAAGCCTGATGTCATTCAAGAAGGCTTGAGGGTGGCCTTGACTGGCTGCTTAAAGGCAGGGAGGGCATGGCCATCTTGACCCTGCCAGCTCCTCCAGGGTCTTGGAGACGAGGCTGGGGCCCTTCTCGTGTGGTAATGGCAGAAGGATCCTGGAAAATGCTGGTAGTTTCTCCAAGCTCAGTGCCCCTGTCCCCAGCTTCTGGACAAAGACGGGAGTCTGGCCCTTCACACAGTGCCCGCAGCACTTGCTGGCATCCTGGTGAATTTCCCCTCTGTGAGGCCCAGAGGGGAGAAGGCATGTGCTGGGGGTTCCCAGATAGCTCTGGACTGGAGGAGCCGGCATTCCCATTTTGGGCTTTCTTTCTTCCCTCTTGCAGATGGAAATGCTGGGGGCGGGCAGGGAATGCTGGGGGCAGAGAATGGTACCATCCCTGGGTTCTCTCCCTGCCTCCCACGGAGCCTGCCTGAGCCCCTCTGCATGCCTGTTGCCTCCGATTTCCCTTCTGCCAAAAAGTGTACCATAGGGACTTCCCTGGTGGTCCAGTGGCTAAGACTCTGCACTTCCCATGCAGGGGCCAGAGTTCGATCCTAGTCAGGGAACTAGGTCCCACATGCCCCAGCTAAGACCCGACACAGCCAAACAAATAAGTAAAAGTAAATATTTTTTGAAAAGTGTAACGTAGAGGTGTAGGTCACGGGCTTTGATTTGAACCCCAGGTCCAAGATCTTGACTCCACAACCTACTGGCTATGTGGCCTGGAAGCTCTCTGAGCCTCACCTGTGGCGTCGGAAGGTCAGGGTAAGATCATGGCAGCAGCGGGGTGGCCCATACTGACTGTTCTCTGTTCAGAAAAGAGGTTGGTAACGGCCTGTGGGTTCTCCCTGCAGAGGCCTAAGGTTAGACCGCAGGGAGAACTTACTAACGGAGCGAGGCGTTTCTGCGCACCCCACCCCCCTCTCCGAGACTCTCAGGGATGAGTTGCTCATGGGTTCCATGCTCTGCAGGGCATCGGCAGAAGCTGGAGGACCAGACCAAGGCGTTCCCCGACCGCTTCGGGGAACTGGAGCGTCTGCGCATGCGGGTGACGCCCAGCACGCCCAGCCCCCGGAGCTCGCTCAGCACCACCAGCCACTTCGGCAGCCAGGCCCAGACCCCCATCCAAGGTAGGTCACCCAGCGGGGACGACGGCGGGGGTGGGCGGGGGCCTGGGCGTGGTCCCTCTGCTTCGGAGCGGAGCGGAAGCTCATGGGGAGGTCCTTGACTGCACTGCCCTGGTCTTACGACGGAGAGCGGCTGCCCACTTGCTCCGACGCTCGTCCGCTCTGAGGGCCTGCTCTGCCGGGTCCTGGGCTCAGCCCTTCCTTCCTTAACTCAGCAAATAGATACGGCCACCCTCCCTGCGCCATCACCGTGCCCGGCCTCAAGGACCAGTGTGAATGGACAGACACAGCCCCTCCCCTGTGCCCCAGGAGCTCCTTGTCCCCTGCGGGAAATAGCTGTCGGTCCCCCAGCGTGCCTGTTAGTGTTGGACAGGACCGGCCTCAAGAGCCTGAGACAGACACTTGTCTCCCGAGGACATGGTGGGCCCCCAAACCTCGCCGTTCTCATCTCAGCAAGGTGGTTGGTTGGATGCCTCTGCCCAGGTCTGGGGTGACATTCAGATGATCTCACTGCGCTCAGACAAACTTTGTAAAGTGAGGTTGTAGCCCTGGAGGGACACAGAACTTTCACCTAAGAAAGGTCCTCACTGACCCAGAGACTTCCCAGACAGGGAGGAGGAGGAGGGCGGCCTCTGGGTGGAGGTGCGGGATGGAGTCTCTCCCCCGTGGCCGGATGGACACAGCAGGAACGTGGGAGCCCCAGTCTCAGGGGGACCGTCCAGGTGTACGGGGCCTGGCGCGCAGCAGGTGCTCCGTGGATGATTGCAGGATGAATATTGCTGTCCAGGTTCTCTTGGCCAGTAGGGTGGGGTGCCGGGGGCTGAGTGCACGGCTGACCCTCAAGCGAGGCGGGGAAGGAGCATGCTTATCCCCAGCGCTGGACGGGGGTGGGAGGGCCGGCTGCCGTCAGGCACCGCGGGTGTGCGTCCTTTCTCAGTCCCCTGGACGCTGGTTAGATCCCATTTGGCAGATAAGTGAACTGAGGCTTCAGAGGTGAAGGGCCACCCTTGGGTCACACAGACCATCACTGGCCAGATTCAAAACGTCCACCGCACCTGCCCTTGGGTGCCTCCTGTAGTTCTGAAGGCCCAGGCCAGGGGGTCCGTATGGGTCTGTCCATCATGGGAGGCCCTGCCCTCAGCCCTGGCCGTGTGCGCCAGGCACGATGGCACACTGTTGAAGCACCCTGGCAGGAAGAGAAATTTCCTCCCTTCTGGCCTGGGGAGCTGGGCCTTGGTGCTGCTGAGCCCCGAAAGTGGGGCGAGGCCCCCCGACCCCTGTTCAGCTCTGGGCCAGGGGCTGTCCACTTTGAGACACTCAGCAATTCTTGAATCCAGGGCACCTCAGGGTGGAGAGGTCTGAGCTCAGGAGGCAGGGAGAGGTCTTCTGGGCTCGTGCCTACCTCTACCCAGAAGCTGTCCGTGTTTCCGTCACCCACCAGCTGGCCTTTGTGCAGGTAAAGTGGTCTAAGATGCCAGGTCTTCTGCCATGGGTGGGGCTGGAGCCCAGCCAGGGACCCCCAGACCCCAGCAGGTGGACACGTGGTGTCCCGGCCAGCAGCTCCCATGGAAGGAGAGTCCCCCTCCTTTTTCCAGCTGTGTGGACATGGCTTGGGAATCAGCGCCTGACGGAGTCTGAGACAGACCTGCTCACCCCTGTCCAGCCCCAGAGGGCCAGGCCTGGCCCAGCAGCAGGCAGAGGCCCTGCCTCCCCGGGGCCTGGGAGGAGAGGAGGTCGGGCCTATGTGGGACACCGGCTGACCCCACCCCACCCCTTTGGAGTGAGAGGAAGGGCTTCTGACATCCAAGACCAGGGAAGGAGCCTGACCTTTGCAGTCAGGTAGGCTCTGCCAGGAACTGGCTGTGTGATCTTCCGCAAGTTGCTTCCCCTCTCTGAGCCTCGGTTTTCTCATCTCTAAAGTGGGAAGAAGGAGGCATCTGTCACCGAGGGGATGTTGGTAGAGCCAGGCTTGGGGAGTCCCTCTTTCTGACCCTCCCCTCCTGGTGGGACAGATCTCTGCCTTCAGACTCCATCCTGGGGGTCCTCTTCAGGGCACCCCCCCCCACTCCTCTTGGTTCCTGTTAACAGCTTTGACCCCCCAGCTTTGGTCACTGGCAACCAGCGCTGAGGCCCCAACCCTCCCATACCCCAGCCCCCAGCCCCCTGGCTGCGGCCGCCCACAATGGGGGCTTCTCACAGCTCAAAGGCCTCATTCAGCCACCACGCAGCAGCTGGGGCAATTTGGAGAAGAAAATAAACATTTCCTCCCAGTGTTGGGATTGGCTGCTCGACAGCGGCCTGGCCAGCTCAGGTTTCCTGGGGCTACTGGGCTGGAGGGAGTGAGGGGTTGGGGGGGGCAGGAGCTGAGGGGTGCTGAGGGCAGATGCTCCCCCCGCCACCCTGCCCTGGGAGGAAGACGGGAGGGGATGGTGGCAGATCCAGGCAGGCCTGCCCGCAGCCCACGGGACCCCCCGAGGGCCACCACACCCAGGCCCACCCGGCACAACCCCTGTGTTTAGCAGACTGCGGTCCTGTCATCGCATCCTGGGGTCCCTGTTTGGGTCCCCTTTGTTTTGAAAAAAGGCTTTCCTGTCATAGGGTCAGCACTCACTTTTCTGAGCTCAGAGCAAGGTGTTAGCCTCATGCTCAGCTCTTCCGAGAGGTGCCAGGCGATGGCCCCAAGGCTTCTTCCCCGGGGTTGGGAGGTGAGGATGGGAGCCAGGCTCCCCTGACCCCCTAGGCTTCAGGGCAGCACTGACCAGTCAAGAGATCTGTTAGGGAGGGTACCAGGTGTGCCAGAAGACCCCAGTCTCCCGGACCCTCGCCCCCCATCTCCCCAACCTGGAGCCTGGGCACAACATTGCATTCTGGTCCACGTCCAGGACCAGAGCCTGCTGCTGAGGAAGCAACCTCCAGCTGAACTGGAAAGACCCCAAAGCCCAGAGAGGTTGCAAGTGTTATCTGAGGCCACACAGTGCCTCAGGCAGATCTGGGAAAGCAAAGCCTAGAGCACCTGCAGCTCTTATCTCAGCCACGCCTCAGGCCCTGCATACAGTGCCTGCCTGGAGTTGGCCAGGGGAAGGGCTGGGCACCTCCCGAGTCCTCTCTGGCCCCTAGTCTTTGGTGGACAGAGGGCTTGGGAACAGACTGACTTCCCAGTGGAACTGCTGCTGGGAGCTCACCCGCCCCACCCCCCCGCCCCCACCCCAACTGCTGCCCAGAGTCACCCCTGTGGCCAGGGTACAAGGAAGGACTGGGGTCAGGGGCTCATCTTTGCTGGGCCCCAAATGGGCCGGTTTTCCTGGGTGCCAAGAGCGGGACGTGTCACAGCCACAGTGGCAGCACAAGCCCTCATCAGGCCCCTGTGCTGTGCCCAGTGTCAGCACTTTGCATGTATTAAATCCCTAGGGCCTGTTATTGTCTCCGTTTTTCATGTGGGACAACCCGATGCACAGAGAGGTTAAGTGACTTGCCCAGAGACACACAGCTAGTCAGTGTCAGAACTAAGGCCTGTATCTAAGCTTGGAGATGATATAGTTAACTTCCAACATGCTGCCTCAGAGATGGGACAGCTACCCCTCAGGCACGTGTAAGTGCTCAGGACCAAGAACCCCTGGATTCCGTGCCAGGTCCCAGATGCTGTGTGACCCTTCCGCAAGTGCCTCATCCTCTGAGTCTCAGGTTTCCTACTAAGGGATTTGGACTCGTTCCTGAAGCCTCTTGGGAAGTTGAGGGTTTGGGAGTCCGTGATTACAAAAGGCGAGGCAGAGGCTAGGATACCCTCGTCTTGGAGCCAAACCCCTGGGGGAGTCAGGGCAGGGCTTGGGCTGGACACTGGGTCTCTCTGCGATGTGGGCAGAGTCCAGGCCACCAGACCCCCTCGATCTGCCATCTCACTTTGTTGTGGCGGCAGGTAAGGGCAGCATCTGACCCTTGTCTGGCCACCAGGCAGCTCCAGGCTGCAGGCAGCCCTGGAGATGACAGGCCCAGGGTGAGGCTGGGTGGCAGGCACAGAGCCGCGGTGGACGCAGCCCCCTCAAATGCAGGCCAGACAGCTCCCGTAGCCTCGCTGAGCCCCACTGGGCAGAGAGGTGAGGCGGGTGCACGCACACGAGTACATCCCAGTGGGAGCAGAAAGCAGAGAGCCCCTGACGTTTGTGCAGAGTTCCAGTCCTTTGTGCAACATAGGAGAAGCCATCTTTCTCTCTCTGCCTGTTCCCTTTGTCTGCAAAAAGCAGGACTAATTCCTTATCTCGCAGGACCACCAGAGACCCTCTTAATACCCACGGTCTTCCCAGTTCTTACTTAACCCAGAGGGAGAGAGGGAGGCAGGAGTTGCCGGGCCAGGCTGCTGGGTGGCCGGTGCTGGCCCCGTCCTTGGGGTCCCCGACACCAACAGCCCAGCTGGGAGCCCAGCTTCACCCCCCGATGGACCTCTGCACGGCCAGGCTGTGACGAGGACTCCGGGAGGAGAGAGACAAGCCCCCCCCTGCTCCCTGCCCCAGTGGGCACCCCCCACCCCCCCAGCCACCCACAGCCCAGACACCTGCTCTTACCTGTCCCCAGGTGGGGGCCAGATTCGGAGTCCGCAGGCTCCAGCCCCCAAGCAACCCAGAAGGGTCAGAGCAGAGCCAGACCTAGAACCAGGGGGTCCCCCACACGGGCCTATGAACCAGAGCCTGAGGTCCTTTTCATTTTCTCTTTCTTTAAAAATCAATCTGTTTTTTAATTTTTGGCTGCACTGGGTCTTCGTTGCTGCCCGTGGGATTTCTCCAGTTGTGGCGAGTGAGGGCTGCTCTTCCTTATGGGGCGCAGGCTTCTTACGGCGGCAGCTTCTCTTGTTGGCAGAGCACGGGCTCGGTGGCCTTGGCCCGACGGCTCAGTTGCCTTGCTCATGAAAGATCTTCCTGGACCAGGGATCGAACCTGCGTTGCCTGCTGTGGCAGGCGGATTCTTAACCCCTGCACAAATCAGGGCCGTCGCCCAAGGTCATTCTTAAAGAAGGGTCCCCGGGCGGGACGAGGGTGGGGGGCGTCGGGCTGTGACTGACCGGTCCCTCCTTGCTGTCCACTCCCCCCTCGCCAGGCACCTCGGAACTGAACCCCTTCTCCGACCCCCGCCAGTTCGACCGCTCCTTCCTGCCGCCCCTCACGGAGAGCCGCTTCCCCGACCCCCGGATGCATTACCCAGGGGCCATGTCGGCCGCCTTCCCGTACAGCGCCACGCCCTCGGGCACCAGCATCAGCAGCCTCAGCGTGGCCAGCATGCCGGCCACCGGCCGCTTCCACCACACCTACCTCCCGCCGCCCTACCCGGGGGCCCCGCAGAACCAGAGCGGGCCCTTCCAGGCCAACCCGTCCCCCTACCACCTCTACTACGGCGCGTCCTCGGGCTCCTACCAGTTCTCCATGGTGGCCGGCAGCGGAGGCGGCAGCAGCGGGGGCGACCGCTCCCCGACCCGCATGCTGGCTTCCTGCACCAGCAGCACCGCCTCGGTCGCCACCGGCAACCTCATGAACCCCAGCCTGGGCGGCCAGAGCGATGGCGTGGAGGCCGACGGCAGCCACAGCAACTCGCCCACCGCGCTGAGCACGCCCGGCCGCATGGACGAGGCCGTGTGGCGGCCCTACTGACCGCCCGCGGCAGGGTGGACCGCTCTCGCCAGCGGCGCACGGCGGAGGGGAGGGACCAGAACCTTCCAGACAAGCGCGGCGGGCCCAGCTTCAAGGCTCAGGGCACCAACTGGACTTAACGCTCCGGGGCAGCTGTGGGCCCCAGACGGGTCCACCGTCCCAGGGGGTGGCCTCGGAGCTGGTGGTTGGCTCTAAGAGCGTCTTATCCCAGAGCCACGTCTTTGTACAGAGGGGTGGGGACCTCTCCCAGGACTCCGCCCCCAGCCCAGATCATCTCATCCCACGTCCCTGTGGGAGAAGCCCCCTCCTGCCACCCGCCCACCCCCGCCCCCTGCCCAGGGTGAGCCGGCTGTCCCCAGCTACGCCACTGCTGTCAGGGGCCCAGGCCCCCTGGACGGAGACCGTCTCCTTCCCAAAGAGAGGTGGTGTTTGCCCACACGGTTTGCCCTGTTACTCACAGAGCCCTAGAAAGACCTCCCCCCGCCATCTTCCTTAGAGACCCCTCACCCCGTGGGCCCAGCCCTTCCCTCCACATTTACACTAGTTGAGTCACAACTGGAAGGTTCCCCCAGCCCTGAAAGGGGGGCTTCCTCATGGTATGGATGAGGAAGCAACCCCTCCAGAGGCCCCGGGGAATTGTTAGCAGAGATGGAAAGAGGACACCCCAGGCCCGCCCCCTGCCCGAGCTCTGCTCCCCCACAACTCGTAGCAGCTAAGAGGCCCCGACCCGGTCCCAGGGCCCCAGAGCAAACTGGCCTGTGACAGCAGGTCCCTAAAACCAGGGCAGGCACCTGCAGACGGGTCCTCCGTGCACTTTACCAGTCCGAGCCGTTCGCCCTCTCCTCCCGCTGGGGCCTGGGAAGGGTCCCCTTTCCCCTCGGCTGGTCTCCCATGTTGCCATTTTTGGACAGAGCACCAGGACCGGACAGGTCCTAGCAGAAAGCCTTGGGGTGAGGGGTCATGGGTCAGATGTCAGCCTCCCTGTCCTACCTAGGTCCAGCCAAGCTGCACACACCCCTGACCCCCAGCCTCATGAGAAGGCCCAGCCAAACCTCCCAGCCTCTGACATACAACCTTCCATCTTTAACCAGTCTGCTCCCAGAGCAGTCTTGAACAACAACAACAAAAAAGAAAAACCAGTTGTCAAAGCTGGTTTTAGAAAAAGAAGTTTCTCAAACATTTTCAGACACCCCGTCCCTTACAGGAAAAGGCCCCGTGATAGTGAATGATACTCCCCCCACCCCCTCGAGGGTGTGGAATTGTTAGCCACACCCCCAAAAACCTCCTCAAGATGTCACAATCCTTCAAGCAGCATCCTACCAGCTGCCACCAAAGGGAAACCCTGCTGCGGACCAAAGGAAGCGCTGGTGAGAGGCTGGAGTCTTCTGTCTTCGACTCTTCAGGCGTTTGTTCTTGCCAAGAGGGTGTGAGCTGGGGCGCGGTGGCTGAGTGAGGGCAGATCACAAGAGCTGTTAAGAGGTTGGCAGCCTCAGCCCCGGCTCTGTTCACGGGAAGTGCTGCAGTTTGCAGATGGGAAAACAGTCCTGGCCCCCGGGTTTAGGCGCGTCCGAGTGTTCTGGTTCTAGAAAGACATAAGAAACCCATGCCTGAGGGTTTTTTTTTTTTTAATTCCAGAAAGGCAGAAGGGGAGCAGGACAAGAAAACTCTTAGAAGCATTGGGCAGCATGTGGATTTAGTCGCTGTTTTCGGCCCCATCTTCTGTGGAGGTGGGAATCTCCTCCACAAAGTGCCCCTTGGCGGTTGTCTCGTAACAGCACTTGGCCGGCTGTCACCCCAGCCTGCAGCCACCGCCGGAGAAGCACACGGGGTACTCACTCAGGCAGGTTAGGAAGTCCTTCTGGTGGTCTTACTCAACTCCCCTCTTGCTGCAGTTTGTCTTCTGGGAAGAAAAGCACGTCTCCATCCTTTAAAACAGCTGCTAAGGGATTCCACTGACTCCCTCAGGCAGCGTGCAGGTTCTGGGGGGGCAGGCTCCCCACTCCTCCTCAGGAAGCAGCTACAGATTCACTGCCCCGGTGTCTTCTCTCCTGTTCCCTGTGGTTGTACACGGGCCCCAGGCCCCAGCGGGAGGCACCCTTGGGTCCCCAGGACCCAGCACTTTGTAGCCCTCCCCACCCCCCCAGATGACTACCCGATTCCTGATATCCAAGCCCTGGTCGGGGCAGGGACCGGAAAACAAATTGACCCCCTCGCCCCTGACCAGTCCCCGACTAAAAGTGACGGCAGCCATGCTGAGTCTTGTTTTTTAGTGCCCGTGGTGGGTGCAGACAGCTTGGGCTGGTAAAAATGGGTCCTTATTTACAAGGCTGCTTTAAAGTCATACAAGGCAAACACACTGACTCAGAAAGCACAAGGAATCAAGGGGTATGGGTACCGTATTACTGTAAGCCTATTGGTGATGGGTACAGGTTGGTTGTGACATATTGTCATGCTGAGATGTTCATACCTGCTATACGCATACCTTCCGTAAAACCGTCCCAGGGCTGGGAAGAGGGTGGGGGAGGGGTGGAAACTTGCTTTGCACTATAATTTGCTTGGTGTGTTTGTTTTTAATGCACAAGTTGCTTGTACAGTAAACCATCTTCTATACTATTTAACTGTAACATGGGATTTTGACTGATTTGTTACAATAATAGGACTCTGAGATGTGTCAGAGGACCCTAGTGCCAGACCTCCAGGGCTGTGTGCATTGGGTGGGGCGTTGGGAGGGGGGGTTGCGGTGGGAGAGGATGGAGCCCTCCCACCATGGCCAAGGAGGAAGAGGGCAGGACCTGGGGGCAGGACCAGGACTGACCTCGCTGTTTTGGAGACCCCCCCACTCCCACCCCCAGCGCCCTGGCCTCCCTGCATGCAGCTCCATCAGGAATGGCCAGAGAGACCACTCTGGGCTAGGACAGCTGGCGAGGCCTCCTCCTGGTGTGGCTGGAACACCAGGGAAACTGACGTCTGCAGGAGCCTCCTCCCCTCACAGGTGAATCCGCAGGACAAACAGGGCCCCTCCTCCAGCTTGTTCCCCAGGCCCCGAGTTAGGAGGGGCCCAGGCGGGTGGACTGTGGCGCGGCCTCAGTGAGAGCCCTGCGCTGGGAGCTGTTTGCTGCAGCACTTGACAACCTGGCAGCCATCAGAGGTGCAAGGCGGGCAGCGCCAGCAGCTCACCCGGCGTGCGGATGAGGGGACCGAGGTGCAAAGAGGGGGTGTCATCTGGCTCCGCCTCTCCACAGAGTTGTTTGTGGCTGATGGTGGGGCCTGTGGGTGTGATGGTACCTGGCTGGGCTGCCTCCCTCCCCACCCCACCAGCAAGGAGGCCTGGCGCACCGTGCCTGTCCAGCTGGGATTTGAGGAGGGGAAATTTCATAAAACAGACCTTATTTTTGAGTGAAAAGACTTCAAAAGCTAATCCCAAGACTTTGCTTTGTTCAGTTAGGTTGGTCTGCCCGAAACCCAACACCCAGCAGGAAGTTCCCCTTTCCCCAGCCAAACCCTGATCCCCGCCCCTCTGCCCTGCAGCACCCCTTCTGCCCCAGGGCCAGCAGAGTCTTCTCTGAGCAGGAGTGCAGCCAGAGCGGCAGGCTGGCTCTGAGTGGCCTCTGCCTGGATGAGCAGGACTGGTCCTGAAGCAGCATCTATAAGCCAACACTGCTTCCATGTATGTGTTTGTGTGGGGGCACTTCCTTCCCAGGTGGCGCTAGTGGTAAAGCACCCTGCCTGCCAAGGGAGGAGATGTAAGAGACGTGGGTTCCATCCCTGGGTTGGGAAGATCCCCTGGAGAAGGAAATGGCAACCCACTCCAGTACTCTTGCCTGGAGAATCCCCATGGACAGAGGAACCCGGCGGGCTACAAGGTCACAAAGAGCTGGATGCGACTCGGAAGTGACTTAGCAGGCTTGGAGGGGATGATGGAGGTTCTAAGAGAGCCCCAGTTCAAGCTCCTCCCCGCCGGCCACACTTGGGTGCCGCAGCTGAGAGAAAAGGAGGTGTGGCCTCCACAGCCCCTGACTCAGAGCTCCAGCGCCTTCACCCCAGAAGGCACAGACCGGCACACCCAGCTTCCCAGAGGGAAACGGAGTTCCAGAGAAGTGGAGGACTTGCCTGAGGTCACCCAGTCTGGGGCTGAAGGGGCAAGCGCTGCAGTGACTACATCAGCCTGCAGGTGGCAGCAGACGGGGCGCGTGGCCCTTCCCCTTCAGAGAAGGCGGAAAAGGGACGTGGCCTCAGTTACGGCCAGAATTCAGGTTAGGTGTTAAGCACTTCCTAACCTCAGGAGGGTCATCCCAGAAGGGCCTGGGAAACGTCTTGATATGGAAGGAGGATTTTTGTTCCTTCTTGAGCTCTGTGGCCGTGGGAGGTCCCTGTCCCTCTCTGAGCCTCCCTTTTTGTTCAGACATCACACAGGCACCTACTATGTGCCAGGTATGTAGCAGAACCCAGGTCCCGTGGTCCCTAGAGGCCCCGCTTTGGGACAGAGGTTTACTTGGCTTGCCGGGAAGGTTGACGTCCCTCGTCCGGCAACTGCAGCCTACTACTGGAGCCCTGGCCCAGGCCCCCACCTCCTGCACCTCCCATCCAGGGTGAGACCTTTCTGTTCCAGAGTCCGTGAGCCCTTGAACCCTAGAATTCCATTTTGAGGCTTGAGGACTTGGTCCAGTTTGGACAGTGCCTACAGGCTCACCGGCCCCTGCCCAGCCCCACAGGCCTGTATGCTGCCTGGCCAGAGGCTGAGAGAGGTGGCCCAGGCCTTGGGACGCCCAGGGGTGGTTTGCTGGGCACTGGGCTGCGCTTAGCACCCCCCTGCTGAGGGTTGACGTGGCCCCAGACAGACTTCTAGCCTTCTGGGCTTCTGGCCTTGGAGAAGACTTGGACTTTCATTGTGAGAGAGGGATGCCTTGGCAGGGGTCTCGAGGCCTGGGGCGGCGGTGGCGGGGGGCGGACTGTGAGGGTCAGAGGAGGCAGTGAGGGGCTGCCTGGTGTGGGGCCAGCCCCCGGTGTTATGGGGAAGGGCCTCAGACCTGCCTCTCTCCCCTGCTGCCCCAGACTGCACCCCATAAACACAGCCAGCCAGGCGCCCCCCACCCCCCGCCCCCAGCGTGACGCAGGGGGCAGTGCTGAGCCTCCCCAGACACTCAGATTGGCCACGTGAGCCGGGAATGCACCTCAGTGAGTCGGTTCATTTTGGGGTCGTAAATGAAATGAGCTGTCAAACGGACTGGGGGGTGGGGGTGGAGGTGGGGGGGCGCCAGAGTGAAAGAATGAACTGTTCCTTGCGGAAACTCAGGGTGCTCCCATTCCTCCCCACGAGGGCCAGGAGAGCCGGGGTGAGGGGCCATGTCCCCCAGCATCCGCATCCACACCTGTGTGGCCCAGCAGCTAGAGGAGCCGGGGAGCTGGATTCCAGGCTTCCTATTTTTAGTTTTGCAGCTCAAGGCCTGCTGTTTGTTTTATATATTTATATTCACCCGCAGAGGGAGCCGGCCCTGGGCCCAGCCCGGAGGCAACCCTCGAGCAGAGGGGAGGGGGGCAAGCCCTAGAGCCCGCGTTCTGGAACCACCCTCCCTTGGTGCCCAGGCCGGCTGCTGAAACCGCGGGGGCCTCGTGGGTGTCCTAATGGGTGGCACCCATTTGGGCCACACACACCACTCTTCTCTTCTGGGCTGGTGTCTTCAAGGCCTTGGCCAGAGTTCATTCACTCATTCACCAGAGACCCAAGCCCCACACCACTCCCACGGGCTGAACCGGCAAGCAAAAAAGGCCAATAAGACATAGTTGTGCCCCCGGGGAGTTCATGGGGCAGGCAGACTGGAAGACAGGAGGGCTCAGCCAGGGGATGCAGGGTGCGGCTGAGACAGGATGGAAAGATGAACAGAAGTTCTCTCGGCCACGGGAGAGCCTCTAGGTGGAAGGAACCATACATGCAGAGCCTGGAGGATAGAAGCACGTCTAAGCTGGAGTGGACACGGAAATACGGAGGGATGGTGAGGGGACCATATGGGAGGCGAGCAGCCCAGGAGGTCGCAGGGGCTGAAGGTCAAGCTGAGGGGCTTGGATTTTGGTTCTGCAAGCACTGGGGAGTGGGGGTGTGTTCAGATGGGTGTGTGTTCGGGGGACCGCCATGGCAGCCTGGACTGTGGACTGCACTAGGGTGCAGAGGCCGGCTCACAGGCTACTGCAATAGTCCAGGCAAAGAAGGGTGACGCCTGTGCGAAATGGCTGGAGGAGGACCTCAGTTCCTCAAGGCATCTTCAGCACAAAAGTCACAGGAAGGATTGTTGTTGCTGTTGTTCAGTCGCTGAGTCATGTCCGACTGACTCTTTGCTTCCCCACTGATTGCAGCATGCAGTCCTCTGTCCTCCACTGTCTCAAACCTTGCTCAGATTCACATCCATTGAGTCGGTGATGCTCTTTGACCATCTCATCCTCTGTCATCCTCTTCCCCTCCTGCCTTCCGTCTTTCCCAGCATCACGATCTTTTCCAGTGAGTCGGCTTTTCCCATCATGTGGCCAAAGTATTGGAGCTTTAGCTTCAGCATCAGTCCTTCCAGTGAATATTCAGGTTTATTCAGGAAGGATCCAGTGCCCCAAACCTCAGATTCAAGTGTCTCTTGGTTTCCTGGGCTCATGGGATTTGATGGAGCCACTGGGGACAAAGTTTTGATAATAGTTTTTGTTGTTGCCCAGTGCATAATAACAGCAACCCTGCCCTCTCCGTGATCCTCGGCTCCTTACCCCGCACAGGTCTCAGTGAAGCCTTATGTCCTGGCTCATGACAGCCCCTCACCACCCCTGAGGTCACATACAGCCTCTTAGACTAAAGGGTCCAGTGCTTAAAATCTGGTCCTGGCACCCCAAAAATGTAATGATTGTAAGATCTAATGTCTGAGGTTCCCAGATTCTGTGTATTAAATTTTAAAATCAAAATTTTAAAATTGAAGTAGAGTTGATTTAGAATGTTTGTTTCAGGTATGCAGCTTGGTATACTCTATTTTTTCAGTATTTTTGCAGATGATACTACATTAAACGTTATTACAAGATAATAGCTGTAATGGAAGGACTGATGCTGAAGCTGAAACTCCAGTACTTTGGCCACCTGATGCAAAGAACTGACTCATTTGAAAAGACCCTGATGCTGGGAAAGATTGAAGGTGGGAGGAGAAGCGGACGACAGAGGATGAAATGGTTGGGAGAAAATGTAGATTGTACAGGTTACCAAAAAGAGCACAAAAAAGGTTACTCATAATCCCACCTCTCCAAAGATAACCATTGTTCATATTTTCAGGAATTTTTCCTCCATGCAGATCTTTATTTTCTATAAATAATAGACATTTTTCTAGGAACAAGGTTTTTTCTAGCCAAGTACACAGTGTATATACAGAATATCAATTAATATTGTTAAACAAATGAAAGGAATCTAGAGTGAAATCACTGGAAGATTGTGGTTATAGCTGTTTCCTGTTTTCTTCTTTATATTTTTCAGTGTTTTTTCAAGTTTTCTAAAGTGAGCACATTTGTTAGGGGCATAGTGTATTAAACTTTTAGACCTTGATAAATATCCAAGCAGAGGAGTTTGAAATCATGCTTGGACTAACTCTTTTGACATTAGCCGAGGTGTCGCCTCTTCTAGGTAGCCTTCCTTGGTAACCTCATGGTGAATTTGGGGCCTTCTCTGCATTTATTTTTGAAATAATAATCAGTATCAGTATCAGTTCAGTCACTCAGTCATGTCCAACTCTTTGTGACCCCATGGACTGCAGCATGCCAGGCCTCCCTGTCCATTGCCAACTCCCGGAGTTTACTCAAACTCATGTCCATTGAGTCAGTGATGCCATCCAACCATCTCATCCTCTGTAGTCCCCTTCTCCTCCTGCCCTCAATCTTTCCCAGCATCAGGGTCTTTTCAAATGAGTCAGTTCTTCGCATCAGGTGCCCAAAGTATTGGAGTTTCAGCTTCAGCATCAGTCCTTCCAATGAATACTCAGGACTGATTTCCTTTAGGATGGACTGGTTGGATCTTCTTGCAGTCCAAGGGACGCTCAAGAGTCTTCTCCAACACCACAGTTCAAAAGCATCAATTCTTCTGTGCTCAGCTTTCTTTATAGTCCAACTCTCACATCCATACATGACTACTGGAAAAACTATAGCTTTGATAGCTAACATTGCATGTCAGGCACTATTATAAATATTTTGCCATGTTAACTCAGCTTCTCAAGGTCTATACTATCAATATCCCCATCTTAAAGCTGAAAAAAACTGAGAAACAAGAAAGGAATTCACTCCTATTTCTAATAAGGGTAGAGCAATACCTAATAAGGGCTTCCCTGGTGGCTCAGATGGTAAAGCGTCTGTCTGCAATGTGGGAGACGTGGATTTGATCCCTGGGTTGGGAAGATCCCCTGGAGAAGGAAGTGGCAACCCACTCCAATACTCTTGCCTGGAAAACCCCATGGACGGAGGAGAGTGGTAGGTTACAGTCCATGGGGTTGCAAAGAGTCAGACACGACTGAGCGACTTTTTCTTTCTTTCTTTCTTATTTCAATACCTGATAAAGTTGAGCTTAAATGTCCCATCAACTAAAGGTATAGGTGGCTCAAAGTAAGAGTTGACTTTAGGAAAAAGTTGTTATTTCTTGCACACCTGAGTTTGTGCCCCGTGAATCATCTTTGACATAAAGGCTGCCCATTAAAGGGAGAAAGAAAGGAAAAAGTTATGAGACAATGCCTTTAAAAAAAAAAGAAAGAAAGCAGAAATGGAAAGGACACAGACTTACAGCCCTTTCTCCACATCTGAGAATAATGCATCTGTCTTCCTGAATTGTGAACCTGAAATTTGACAGAAGCGTGAAATCAAAAGACAGAAATGACATCTCTAGACCCTCTGGTGACCCCACCACCCGTCCTGCCCCTGAAGGGGCAAGGGTGCCCTGTGAATGAGGCCTCTCTGGGGGGCTGGAGCCCCTGGCGGCAGTCTCCCTCACTCTGCAGGGGGACACACAGTGGGACAACCAGCTGTCTTCCCCTCCTTAAACAAGTGCTATTTCTCTTTCCGTGAAAACAACTCAGTTCTAAATCACCGACGCCTGAAACTAGAAAAATACATGGCCCATATTATCATAAAACTATTTTAACACGGTGGGGCCGTCTGGGCGGCAGGAGGGGTGGCCAGGAGCCCACAGCAGCCCCTTCCAGTTGCAGCCTGTGGAAGCGCTCAAGGGGACGAGAAATTTGGTTTTCATTAGCGGCGA